AGGAATTCTGGATGAATGCCATCAAAGCCTTATCAGATTACCAATTCGATTGCATTTGGCTTCACCAGTGAAAAGTTGAAAGTGTTTTCTTAATGAAAGTGGAATGTCCTCTCACCCTTGGAGCTATACATAGTGATATATACAATAGACTTCACAGACAACAGATTAAATTCCATACAATTTATATCATTTGCATGATATCATTAGCTGAATAACTTCACTTGCATAATGACTGAAGTACACAAATGATAATCAACATCTTATAATTGATACAAAATAACTGAGAACATTTTCTCCAAATAAATGGAGATTCATGAAAAAATAGCATCCCCGCTTCCACTTAATCTATTAATATTAAGTTTAATTGTATTTTGCTTACTTGCTCTTAGTTTAATAGTCTCTGTGCCTTTCTGGTGTTTCTTCTGTCTTTGTGTGCACTGCAGGATATCTGGCCTTTTTGCTCCATAGATTATTTTAGGACTTCCCTTTTTCTGTGTCTCTAAGTGAATGTCATACTTCTATTTTATTAACAACAGATGTTGTTAATAAAATAGGGCTTTTTTTTGTCATAGAACGCCCAGAACGGAGTTCCAGCACCTTTTTTGGATGGAAACTTGTAGGCTAGGCAAGGCGGGTTGTATGACATGTGTGAGTTCCAGCACCTTTTTTTTTTTTTTTACAAAAAAAGCACTGTTTATTAGGACTAAAAGCTTTTTTCTATATTTAAAAATGTACATTAAAACACCTTCTTAACTTTCTCAGGTTCACTCATATGGTACAGAACAAAAAGTTCTGCACTGCTGGCCAAGGGCAAGAGTTTCTTGGCTTATGACTATCACGGCCCAGGACTCACTCAAGTCTCTGAATAAGTCTCCAGCTGAACCTGTGGAGTATTAACCTCAGGAGACATCAAGCCAGAAATCATTTGATCAAACACAGGCACCATTAGGACAGTTGGAGCAGTCAGATGATGAGGAATGGCTGCCAAGCTCTCAGACTCGGTGAATGGAGCAGAGAGTAGAACAAAGATGCTCAATGAGGCTCTTTGCCAAGCAAGAGAGAAACTATTTTAATTGAAGATAGCTGGCTCCAGCATAATTTAAGAGGCAGCCTGATCCCTCTTTCTCCTTTGGAAACAACTGTCTGATTTCCTGCTTGATGTGTCATTTTGTGAAATCTGATGTTTGGACTGACAAACCTGCCTTGACTCCTGAGCTTCAGACTGGGTCCAGACTTCTCTCCTGTGAACTCTGCTTCTTGCTATTCAGCATCACTAGATGCTTGTGCAGTAGTTAAAAATAGCTATCAGACATTCAGTAATGATCTACCAGAAGTTGCCTCCTCTCCCAAAGTCTTGGCAATGCTCTTTCTCTAATTTGCTCTATAACTGGCTTATTCAATTCATTTTTTTAAAATGGGAGAGAATGTATTTTGGAGAACTTAGTCTTAGAAGCTAGCTAGTCTTAAATTGAATGAGAAGGGATAGGGTGAAACTTAAAAGAAAACCCCTTTTTAAAACAGAAAAAGTGCTCTATTATTTAATGTCTGTCTGTCTGTATACATGTGCACCAAGCAAACAGTAGTACTATTAATGCCAGTTCTTCCAAAACAAATTGGAAGAATTAGGTCCCCCATGTGGGGAAGGGGTTTGTTTGAGATGAAGGAAATATTCTTTTGAACATTTAAAAGAGGACTGATTTTCAAGGGAATAAGAACAGGGAACTAATCCTTCTTTTATTCAAGCCATCAACTGAATCAAATCTGAAAGTAAAGGTGCTATAGCGGTTGTCTCAAAGGGAGACAAGAAAATCAAGGACCACTACCACTCCAGCATGGAATCTTATAGTCCCTTACATTAAATTTGTTCTTCTGACAGCTCACTGTCAGATCACAGCAATTGCATCCAGAGTGATTTCTTCTATGCTACATGTTCCTTGAATGACTGCCACTGTTTGTTCCAAAATTCCATAAAGCTAAGTGACAGCTACATAGAAGTGACAGATCTTTCCTCTTGTTTTGGCTCAGGCAATTATAAAGTAACAATCTGAAAAAGCAACTTCCAATCAAAGCAAGTAAAACAGAACACCCAGCATCCCATTTACCCAGAACAATAGTATCTGTATGGAATAATAATAATAACAACAACAACATCAGCACCAGTCAATTTGAATGTTCAGTTGACTGAGGTTCACTCTAATGTATATTATTGTTGTTGTTATTATTATTATTATTATTATAGATCATCGCACAGTCAGCCAGATGTTCAGACTGGATTTGGCATTTTGTCTACCTATCGAGTCCTTACCCAGGACCTGGGATAGGCAGATGTGGATGTTTGATGGTATTACAGATATCGTCGCAGGATGGAAGCAGTTCCTAATAAGGCCGCCTTTTGCAATTGACTAATAGCGAATTTGTCAATGCCAATGGTGTTCAAGTGGTGCTCCAGTTGTTTTGGGATTGCACCCAAGGAGCCTATTACTATTGGTACTACCCTTGCTTGCTTTTGCCACAGTCTTTCTATTTCTATTTGTAGGTCTTTGTATTTTGTTATCTTCTCCAGTTCTTTCTCGTCTATTCTGCTGTCTCCAGGCACTGCCACATCCACTATCCAGACTTTTTTGTCTTTCTTATCGACAATTGTTAAGTCTGGGGTGTTATGTTGCAGGTGCTTGTCTGTTTGAATTCTGAAGTCCCAGAGCAGTTTAATTTTATCATTTTCTATGACTTTCTCTATTTTATGATCCCACCAGTTTTTGCTTACAGGCAAATGATATTTTTTGCAGATCTTCCAATGCACCATTGTTGCTACTTTGTCATGCCGCTGCTTGTAATCAGTTCTGTGCAATCTTCTTGCAACAGCTTACCAGGTGGTCCACTGTTTCTTCAGCTTCTTTGCATAGGCGGCACTTACTGTCTGTTGCTGTCTTCTCAATTTTGACTTTATATGCATTTGTCCTTAAGGCTTGGTCTTGTGCAGCCAGAATTAGTCCCTCGGTCTCTTTCTTCAATTTTCCTGCTCTTAGCCATTGCCAGGTTTTTTATTATCTGCTTTCCCAGCTAATTTTTTAATGTATTGGCCATGTAGTGCTTTGTCTTCCCATGCCTCTATTCTGTTCTTCATTTGGTCTTTCTTGTAGGCCAGTTTGGTCTCTCCAGTAGTCAGTAAGCCTTCCTGATATACTAATTTCAGTGCATCTTCATCATTGTTCTTCAGATATTCTTCCAAAGCCATTTTTTCTTCTTCAACCATCTGATGTACTTGTAGCATTCCACGCCCACCTATTTGCCTTGGTAGATAAAGTCTGTCAATGTCACTGCGTGGATGAAGGGCATGATTCATTGTCATTATTTTTCTGGTCTGCCTATCCATTGCTTTTAGTTCTGCTTGAGTCCAGTCCACTATTCCAGCTGTGTAGCTAATGACTGGAATTGCCCAGGTGTTGATTGCCTTTATGGTATTTCCTCCATTGAGTTTGGACTTTAAGATCTTCTTCACTCTCTTGATGTATTCACCTCTAATCTTTTTCTTGACTTCAGTGTGCTTGATGTTGTCAGCTTGAAGGATACCCAAGTATTTGTAGTACTCTTCCTCATCCAGACTCTTAATGTTATTTTCGTGGGGCATCTTGATTCCTTCAGTTTTCACTATTTTTCCTTGTTTGATAGTAAGTGTGGCACATTTGTCCAAGCCAAACTCCATTACAATATCTTGGCTATATATACGGACAGTGTTGAGCAGCGATTCTATTTCAGATGATGTTTTTCCATACAGCTTCAGATCATCCATGTAAAGGAGATGGGATAGTCTGGTAGATGTTTTTGATGTTTGATAGCCATGTCCTGAGTTATTCAGTATTGTTGACAGAGGAAACAGTGCAATAACAAATAGTAATGGTGACAATGAATCTCCTTGAAATATTCCTCTCTCGATATTAACCTCTCCCAGTCTCTCACCATTGATCTGCAACTGTGTCTTCCATTGTGCCATCGATCTTTGCATAAATTTTCTGATGTTTCTACTGACTCCTGTTATTTCTAGGCATTGATTATCCAGTCATGTGGCATTATTATTATTATTATTAATAATAATGTTGGAAGGGACCTTGGAGGTCTTCTAGTCCAGTCTCCCCTGCTCGGGCAGGAAACCCTATACCATTTCAGACAAATGGTTGTCCAGTCTCTTCTTAAAAACCTTCAGTATACAAAACAAAGAAACCCTATTTTGATTTGAATCCTTGAACAAAGCATCCAAAACATCTTTTGGTTAAAGCATGGACAATCTAAACCATCCATTTCATCTTCTTCTTGTTGTTGTGCCATATCCATTATCAGACGTTGGCGATCATGTTGGCGATCCTGTTTTTATCAGCAGCTGCACGAAAAAGTGCTGCTGAGTTTTGTCCAAACTAGATTTAGATTTTGAAGCCATGATCCATTTCATGCACAAAGTATTTTGCAAGTCCCTGAATTTATTATAATGTTCAGTTTGTTTGTTTTTAATAAAAGTCATGCCAAAACAAATAAACATTACGAGATATAGCTCAAGAACATGACAAAATATATTAACAAAACTGCATTGGAAATATGTTAAACATATTTATCTCCGTATTAACAGAAGGCTACAAATACACAGGGAAAATTAGGACAAAAGCATATTTTAAAATTTGGTTACTTTTCTTTTGCAGTCTTCCAAGACTGCATTCATTTACTGCCCAGATAACTTATTAGCTGCAAAACGCGAGGAAACTTGAGGCGAGGACAGGCGGAAGATGCAACAGGTGTAACACTTCGCGGTGTTATACCCATATTGGGGGGCGACTGTGTAATTGAATGTACAATTTTTTTTTATATAGGAACCATGAAGGAGCTGTTGTTTTGACAGAAAACAAAAAAGCTTGTGTATTTTTATTGAAAATATTAAAACTGCCAACTGAATGATTTAAGATAAATTTGCCGGTGAACAGAAGAGGAGACAACGACCGAACGTGCAACTTTCTTAACTAGCCGTCATCATACTACGCATGTCTCGACTCAGCAGGAACAAAGGACCGTTATGCCGTCCGTTAAAGCTGTTGCTTAATACGCATGCGTAGCTGCTTTTGGAGTAGTTAAAATGGCGGCGCCGGTGGATCTTGAGTTGAAAAAGGTAAAGAAAATGAAAATGGGTCGGGAGTTGCCTGAAAGTAAGGGGGATTTGGAGGTGGAGTGCGATGCCTGATGATTTCATAGAAGATCAGCAAATTCTGCTTGGTGGGCTTATGTGATCCCTTTCCTCTTCCCAGATCTTCACGAATGGTCTACGAATTTTTCATATTTGTTTCCCCTCCCCCAGCAATATATATTTGGAAGCATTTTATCTGTGAACCGAATTATGGCAACAATTTGTTTCTCACATAGCATTCATTTTCTGTTTAAGCTAGTGTCGTTGCCTGTTGTTTTTATGAGAATGTTTTAAGAAGAATATTTTGGACGGAAATTATTTAAATCTTTTGGCTATAAATTTCGTTGTGTATCTAATTCTGAATATAAAAGGAGGAAAGCATTTTTAATGATTCAATTCTATTTCAAAGCTAGTCAGGTGATAGTCAAATTTAAATTAGGTTACTTTTTGATTTGTATCTATATAGCAAACCTATAGCTGTAAACATTTTGGTGAGGTGTTGACATTCATATATTTAATCCTACAGAAATTGGATCAAAAATAAAATTAATAAAATTTTAAATCTGTAGTATATGGAGTCAAACCAAGCTAACTTGTCCCAAAGTATAATTCTAACAGTTTCAATATCAAATCAGAATACATTGATGTTACTGGTCACCCAATGACTCTTTCAACCTGGATCTGTCACCCTTTTCTGTTTTTCTTTCTCTGCTGTTTTTTCCTAATTGTAATAATTTATAATAGTCTATCACCTTTCTGCAGGAAAAAATATACTTTTGATTTCATCTGTCATTTAGGTTGCATGGAAGATAAGCACATTAGTTAGACTTATAAAACTTTTCATATCTCTTTACACTTTAAATTTTAATATATTTGAATCTTCAGGATCTGATTTTTTATGTGAAAAAAATATATTAAGCTATCATAAGGAAATAATCTCCACAGAGTGATAAAGCTCACTGAGTCTATGCATAGCTGAAGTTTATAAAGCTATTCATACATTACACTAAGAAATAATATGATTTTTGCTTGGTACATTGTATGAATTAGGGAATTTGTAGAATATAGAGCAAGTGTACAGCAGAGTGAGTAGTACTCACCATTTACCTTGCAGAATTGTTTTTACAATTATATAATGCATAGTAAATATTTTTACCAGTAAACTATGTCCACAGATCTGTGATGCAGGCCTGCTGTGGACAATTCTCATTTTTTTTCAACATTCCCTGAATTATTTAATCTGATTAAAATAGTGCTATACCACAGTGGTGGCGAACCTATGGCACGGGTGCCAGAGGCGGCACTCAGAGCCCTCTCTGTGGGCATGCGCACCGTAGGCCCAGCCCTAGGCCTTCAGCTGGGTTTTATAAAACCTTTTCGCTTTAGGCTTCTGCCACCGTGTGCAAAAAAAAAAAAAAGGTTCAACAGATCAATTTCAACTTCTCGTGGGAAAAAAAAATCTTGCAAAGTTGGAATTGATTGTTTGAACTTTTTAGTCCCACCCAGTCTATCATTACCACCACAGCCACGCCTTCCCAAAGGGCCACACCCAGCCAATGGGCCACACCCACCTGGCACCCAACAATGCATAAGTGGGTTTTGGGTTGCATTCAGTCTCTAAAAGGTTCGCCATCACTGCTATACCAGATTATTTATTTGATGATTGGAACAGATTTGTGTCTTGCACGCATATTGGTTTTCACCCAGTATTATTTCTGTTTTTTTCTTTAATACTTTTGATGTTTGGTGCATATTTTACATCTTTAATTTATCTGATGTTTAAATATACAGTACATCCTTTTGGTAAGAGATTGCAGTAGGGGGGAAAAGAAGTTCTGTTCTATTGGCATTTTAACCATAGTGTCAGCCACTATTCATTAGACTTTCTGAAGTTGTCCTGGCTTTTCTCTTTTAATAAATAGTTAGTTAGATATCTGCTAAAAAAATTAAAATGTGCATTACAGGTGGTCCTTGACTTACAACAGTTCATTTAGTGACTGTGCAAAGTTACAATGGCACTGAAAAAAGTGACTTATGACCACTTTTCACATCCAACCATTGCAGCATCCCTTTGATCATATGATCAAAATTCAGACGTTAGGCAAGTGACTTATATTTATGGTAGTTGCAGTGTCCTGAGGTCATGTGACCACCTTTTGTGATATATTCTGACAAAGTAAAAGGGGAAGCCAGATTCACTTAACAACCGTGTTACTAACTGAACTGCAATGATTCACTTAACAACTGTGGCAAGCTAGGTTGTTAAAAGGGAAGAAAACTCACTTAAATAAGTTTCTCACTTAACAACAGAAATGTTGGGCTCAATTGTGGTTGTAAGTCAAGGACAACCTAAATAAAAAGCTCATAGGTTTTTGTGAAGAGTGAAGACTGTTACAGATTTTTTTAAAAAAATTACCTACATTTGTATTGTTTTCCATGTTAGGCATTTTCTGAACTTCAAGCTAAGGTCATTGAAACCCAACAAAAGGTGAAACTGGCAGATATACAAATAGATCAGCTGAACAGAACAAAAAAGCATGCACATCTTACAGACACAGAGATCATGACTTTGGCTGAAGAAACGAGAATGTATGAAGGTATAGGACGAATGTAAGTAATGGTTCTTGTCAATTATCTTATTTACATTCAATTTTCTCATTTTTTTCTGCAGCATTTATACCAAATTTGTATGACACAGCCATCCATATTGGAGTTGAATTTATCATATCTGTACAAACATTAGAGTTTAAACAAATATAATAATTTGTAGAATCATTTATCTTTGCTTTATTTAGCATAATCATGGTTTTGCATGTTGTATGAATTTAGCATGTTTGTCTCGTGGTTAAACAGTTATTGGTCTGAGTAGATAATGTGGAATATCAGATTATCTTGAGTGCTTCAAGAGCCCTCTCTGTGGGCACGTGCGCTGTTGCCCCAGTCCTAGGCCTTCAGCTGGGTTTTATAAAACCTTTTTGCTTTAGGCTTCCGCTGCCGTGTGCAAAAAAAAAAAAAAGGTTCAGTCAGTCAATTTCAACCTCTTGTGGGGGAAAAAAAAGATCTTGCAAAGTTGAAATTGATTGATTGAACTTTTTAGTCCCACCCAGTCTGCCATTACCACTGTAGCCACGCCCACCCAATGGGAGACGCCCACCCAATGAGCCACACCCACCCGGCATTTGACGATGCAGAACTGGGTTTTAGGTTGCAGTTTGGACCCTCAGTCTCTAAAACAGTGGTTCTCAACCTTTCTAATGCCGTGACCCCATAATACAGTTCCCCATGTTGTGGTGACCCCCAACCACTTATACATCACCGGGTGCCAGGGGCGTGGCCAAAGAAAAGGGGGAAAAATGGCGGACAGCCTTGTTTGGCGACCCCCGTGAAATGGTTGTTCGACCCCAAATGGGGTCCCGACCCACAGGTTGAGAACCACTGCTCTAAAAGGTTCGCCATCACTAGTATAGCGTCTCCCTTCTCCCAAATAGTGCAGGTCACATTGTCCAATGAAGTGTCAGACAATTATTATGAGAGACCTTGGTTCTCACGCCTTGGCAGTCTGATGTCTGAAGCCTGCATTCCATTCTTCCATCCCATCCCCCGAATCTGCAGGCAAGCTAAGAAGCAGTAATGGATGCCACAGCATAGGTATTTTTTGCAGCTTGACAGATGGCGTGAAGTCTTTTAGAGGTGCAAAGTCTGCAAAGGTGGCTATAAAATAGGGACTTTTTTAGATAGTTCCTGACAGCAGTCAGCAGTACCTTATATAATACACTTTTCCATGGTTAATGTTATATGTGCCTAATGCATGCAGCATCTTTCTGATTTCTATCAGGAGACATATCTATTAACTGCTAAGACAAAGTTTGTTTGTTTTAACTTTGTTTCTAATAATTATGGAAATTACTGTTTTGCTTTTATACACCTTCGCGTTACTTTTCCTCCAGTGTGACAGCACTATCTGTCAGCAATATCCCTTGGATTATATACATAGGGCAAACTTTATGCAAAAGAATAGATGCAAATATGGCATCCTTTGCAAAACTCAACTTTAGCTTCCAGCCCTCCCCCATAGGTCCATGCCATGAAGTTGGCCTTTATGAATGCCAAAGAACAGTAGAATTATTTTGTTCTAGGGCAGGGCTAGGCAACCATGGCTCTTTTATGACTTGTGGACTTCAACTGCCAGAATTCCTGAGCCAGCATGGCTGGCTCAGGAATTCTGGGAGTTGAAGTCCACAAGTCATAAAAGAGCCACGGTTGTCTACGCCTGTTGTACGGATTTCTTATAATTGTCAAATCAGTGATAAATCCATTGAACAAACCAAATACTTTAAATGTTTTCATAATCATTTGCATTCATCTACTTTTTGAAGTAACCAAAATAAGTGACCTCTTTTCAAGAGCACAAGAAGCTGCCAGTGAGCGTACAAGATTTGCAAACTACAAAAACAATAATGGTTGTGGTCCCTGTAACCGTGAGATATTTTAAACTGAATGCCTTACATTTGCTGCTTTGTGTTACGCAATTCTGTGCACCTAAGGACCACTTCTACCCTGTAAGTAATTCAATCCGACATTTTGAATTTTTGACACATTCTCTGATCCCAGGATCAGCTAGGAAGGTACTCTTTGGAATGGATAATGGCTGTCTCTCTCTTGAGGCTTGACCGAGACTTTGCCAACTTGCTATATACATATATGCTGTATGGTTGTTTACTAAAGAAGCATAAATTAAAACTCAACGAAGATAACTTGAATCACAGGTGAACTTAACCAGAATGTTTAGGTTACTGAAAGCATAGTCCCAAATATATAAATTTTCAAAAATATTTCTGTTTGGTTTTCCTTCAAATAAACATTTTAAGTATTTTTGCTCTGTAGTCACTTAGGAATTACAGAATCATAGAAATGGACTGGACTCAAACTTAGTTCTGTGCAGGAATTTATAAATAAATACTCCTGCCTCTTCCATTTTCCCTGCACAACAACCCTGTATGGTGGATTGGGCTGAGAGGAAGTGACTGGCCCAAAGTCATCCAGCTGGCTTTCATACTTAAGGTGAGACTAGAACTCACAGTCTCTTGGTATCTAGCCTCAGACCTTAACCACTTGACCAAACTAGTTGTCAAGTTTCGAAGCACTGCTGGTGCGACAAATACTGCTTCTCAACTTGCCAATGAACTTGCGGGGGAGGGGAGAAGTTTGGAATGCAGACTTCAAATATTAAGAAGCCAGACTGTGAGACACAAGGACATTACACCAGGTGTCTCGCCAGACCTAGATATGCTTTCTCTTAACAATATTTTTCTGCTTGATTGGGCAACATGACCTGACCCGACCCAGAGGAAGGAGGGAGAATTCAAAGCTTTTACTATATGGGTTTGGGAGGAGTCTTGTCGGAGCTGGTTTTGCTTTCATTAGTGCCAAAGTGATGCATTCAATAAAGTTTTACATTAAGAGATTGGAATGTCTCTTTGCTTGGTTGGCTTCGTCATTCAGAACCTTGACACTAGTTCTATTAAAGCATCTCTCATTTGGCCTCCCCAGGCAAGGGAAGTCTGCACTTCTGTAAGGAATTGGTTCTGTACCATTACCATGATGAAGTGTTGCCTAATATTCAAGTGGAATTTGCTTTCTTGTAATTCAAAACTATTGCTTTGTGTTTTGCTCTCTGGAATAATAGGGCAGGTAATACTTCCTCAATGTGATCTTTCCTCAGGTATTAGAAGAATATTATCATAGACATTCTCTGTCATATTTTCTTAAAACTACTCTGATTTTTTTTTTTGTTATAAGATTTGGTTTCTAGTATTCTGTCATTCTGTTTATTTGCATCTGTTTGAATTTGTCTGAATCCCTTTTAACAGGTGGTGCTAAAACTAGATAGTACTTAATATAGGATCTGACTAGAGCAGAACAGAATGGAAATATTTACGTCCCTTAATTTGGGTAGTTTAATTTTATTGATGTGAGCCAGTCGTGTATTTCAGTTTTTTTGCAGCCATGATTTATATTTCTCTTGTTCTTCCCTTGAGCTGTCTTTCATTTTTTTTAACCACTTGCAAATTTGGTTTCTTTTTTTCTAATATTGCATATGTCTATTAAATTTAATGTTATTTTTAGATACAATCATGTTTCTGTCTGCTAGATTAATTATTTCTTAATATTTGTTATATCCTGACTTTCAGGATAGCAATCTTTCTAAAGCAGCTTGCAAGTAATATAGTTTTGTAAATAAATCTGCAATAAATATTACGCAAAGCCAAATAAATATTTCTAAAATCTTTTCTGCGAATAGCTGGTCCTAATAGCCTGGTGGTTTGTTAAAGGTAAGGAAAGAATCCATTTGAGCAGGTTTAATAGATACTTGTTGCATATCACCCCTCTCTCTTCATGGCTAGTTTCTGTCAGGACTCCTACCTCTTGTTATTCTGTTTATAAGAAAGTCTTTGTAAAAAAATATGTGTTTGGTTATTCTTTACTTAAGTTTCCTTAAACATCAAGAACGCCTGCATGGTAATTTATTTATCTATTTCCTGCCTTTATTTTTTCATCAGTTAACAGCTAATATATTTAATACTCCTTTATTTTCCTATTTTCCTCACATAACAGCAACAACCCTGTGAGGTGAGTTGGACTGATAATGACTGGCCCAAAGTTACCAAGCTAATTTTCCTGGCTAAAGTAGGATTAGAACTCACAACCTCCTGGTTTCTAGCCTGGTGCCTTAACCACTGTACTGAACTGACTCTTCTCCAAAGTGCCCACTATATGCTGACTGCCAGGAGTTCAATCCTCACCAGCTCAAGGTTACTCAGCCTTCCATCCTTCCGAGGTTGGTAAAATGAGGGTGCAGATTGTTGGGAGGGGCAATATGCTGACTCTATAAACTGCTTAGAGAGAGCTGTAAAGCACTGTGAAGTGGTATGTAAGTCTAAGTGCTACTGCTATTTCCACTATATATAATTATTGTTCCATCTTTGTTAAATTCCCCTTGTTCCATCATCTAAATGAGAAAATTTACAGCAAGCCAAGTCTGAAAGTTAGACACTAGGCTTGAAATATTTGTCTCCCAAAAGATGTCAGGATATTTCACTTAAACTGGATATGTCATTGAAAGACCTGCACTTTGCAAAATAACTTGCCCCATCCTGAGTAAAGTTAGTTCTTGATGGACAATGAGCCTTGGTAATGGCTTTGTAACACTGCTAGCAGAATACTTCATACACAAGCTTATCTGGCCAGAGAGATCATATAGAATGCATTAGATTTCCACATTAGCATCCGAAAGTCACTAGTGGGAACAACTTTTTGGCAGGTGAAATAAGAACAGGCTGTTCTGTCTAATTAAAAGACAAATAGAAACACAGAAGTTAAAGTGGCCTAGATCTGAAAATGCACAAGACAGTTAAGATAAAATTGTACTTATTTAAAAGATTTGTATAGTACCCATTTTATGTATCATATCTCTGGGCAGCTTACAATAGTAATAAAACAATAACACGTCTAAAAGCAACATAAACATTTTATTGTCCTTTCCAAAACATATATCCCTCATATCCAACAAGGACACCTTATCCTAATTCTTATGGGAAAATCCAGGACTT